CAAATGAATAAAAGTCAAAATCCTGCATATTGGCACACTTTAATAATTCCGCCGTCATAACCCCAGGCAGTGTTCAGTTTCATGCTGAACGCTTTTACTAGCCATCGAATCACTTAACCGCAGGTTTCCCTTCAGAATATCAGCAGAAGAAAATTTTCTTAATTATGGATTACTACTCGAATGAACTCTAGTTTTAGCCGAATGAAACTAATTTTCGTGAGGCGAAGCTCAGGTATCTCGGAAAAAATTTCTCAAAGGCGGCGTTTTTCTTTGAATCATATGAGCAATTTTTGAATGACTGATTCTGTGGCTGGTTGGAACTGCACAAACTGTCTAAAAAGTGAATATTCAACCGACAGCGAATCATCATCGAATAAAATGGAAATTATGTCAGCTGAAGTGTTGTCTTTACCTTGACGATGATCGATGCGATGTATGTGGAAAAGTTAACGGTTTTTATAGCAATTATATCTTATTCGATTAGTGCAGTCAAGTGTGGAACGGCAGCGAGCATTTTTTGATAGTAATATGCTACAACGGTAGCCTTAGCAAGTTTAAGATTGTCGCTTCTGGCATCTCGTGTGCCAGATAAAGAAGAGAAGAAGATAAGTGCCAATGGAATGCTGTTAGGCATTGGAAACCGTCTGTTTACCGTGTTTCTGTTGTCGCTCGACAACGATTTACTTCGGGAGTTGCGCCACGTATCCTAATGAACCGACCTGGCCGTCTGAGTATCGAATGACCAGCGAAACATGCTGTATGCTTCACCGTTGTTTGTCATTTGGTCGTTTTAAAGCTACTACCCAAATATAGAGTGAAACTGTATTCACTGACATCATGACTGCTCAGAGGTCTAGGTACAGATTAATGACAGGACAACGATGCCTTTCAGAGTGTTCGCTGGTTTTCGCCAATGCTGTATGTCGGCTCATCTCTTGTTCACCATTTTTATTCACTGGGTCAGCAAACGACACTGGGAACGTCACAGTTTGCGAGAGTTGACTGAGTCACCTCACCTTCTATTTGCGGATGATTTGTCATGTTCGCTTCCTCCTATGATGGCGAATGTGTGAGTATTCCTTTCGCTGTTGCATTGAGGCTGATATGAATATCAGCTGGATCAAAGCTGACGCCTTGTGCTCTCGAGAAATGCCACCAAGTGTACTTTGCAGATAAGCGGAATGCTTCTGATGCAGTTGGAGAAAATTCAATAACTCTGCGATAGAATGCGCGAGTAATGGCAATCAAGATGTGTAAATGCACGCACGGAATGGTCGGGCAACGCTGTAATGAGGGAACTAAACCGGTTTGCAATGAAGTAGTGTGAACAGTAGTGCTAAGTTATTTGTTTTCAAGTCCGTCTCTGAACTTACCCTCAACTGTAGTTATGAGTGTAAAATATTGCTGCTAATCATTTTCCACCAGCCAGAAACATAGAACATTGGACTACGAAGTGAGATCAATTATCAAATACCACATTACCTTTATAGTGTGCTTTATACATGCACAGGGACAAGTCACAGAGCTTCTGTACACTTTTGATTACAGGAGGTTAAATTTTGTTCAATTCCGGTAACTTTCGCATTTCATTCTACTGCAACAAGTGATACGCTGTTTCCCAGGCGTAGAAAAATTGTCTTTCTAGGTAGCAGCCCTTTTGGCATCGGGCTTCGACGCGGGATAAAACATACAAAAAAGATTAATTTTTAGCCAACGAATGAGATTGCTTCCTCAGAATTCGTCGCTTTTGAACATGTTTATCTCGCTGTGTGTGCTATGGTCATGCAGACCCTGTATGAATAGTTGCAATGCATAAACGTATGATATTCGAAATGCGATGCAGCACTTATTCTAGGAAATATTTAGATGTCTTTGCTGAAAATGTTCGAATCAAAATTTTCCTCTCCATCAGAAACATGACGTCCGAGCTAAGCAATCGAAACTTGGCCAAGTGGTCACTAAGTTACCTGCCGCGAATGCACAAAGTCTTGGTTAAACACCCTAGAAAAGCGAAGTGTGTTACCCATCATTTCACAGCTGTCAATGCTTTGCTGTTGTTTTGTCATCGTCATCTGAGCTTAACAGATCTTAAACTGTAACTTTGATTAATGATGTCTGATCTTTAGAAATGGTACTTCAGGTTAATATTAGGCACAAGTCATATTCTTCTTCGCAAGCAGGTCTGACTCAGCGAGGATCTTCCACGTTTTGAACTGTTCTCCCACGCGTCTGCGACCAATGGCGTGGTTCCCAAGATACAAAATTTTTGAATATGTTTCCAATCTCCTTCTGGACCGTTTTATCAAACCATGTCAGGTGTCGTTCTGTGAGTGCAGCTAATCATTTTCTCAAACCTGTTCGCTCGTGACTCAATGGTACCATCACAAGTTGAGGATAATGCGTTGACAACGTTGTTGGAGACTGTCTAAAGGACCTTCATGACTCTTCAGTATAGCAGATGTTTCGAGACTGTACATGAGGGCCGCAAATACAGCTGCCTTCAGAATGATGATAGTCTTTTGGTCCGGTCT